AACTCCCTTTTCAGCTGAGTGATTTGGACAACTTAGTTCACTCTCCTGGACCTAGGTTTCCTCGACTGTTTAGCACTCCCTGCCTTGACACTGGTGTTGGAGTATTTGGTGAGGTTATTTGGCAAGTTTGGCACCTCAAAGCTCTTGCCGAGCAGCATCCACCTCCTGTGGAAGAATCCTCTTGCTAACCGGCAGCCGCCTGAGGAACTCCTAAAGACCCGCCTAGCGTGTAACTCTCAGTTTTGTGGCTCCACTGCTGAATCACACAGAACACGGGTATCAGCTGCTCAGGGAAACCGCTCCCGTCATTTAGCAGAAAAGTGACAGGTTTACGCTAATCACACTTCCTGTACCCACTCCTGTGTTTTTTTGTTTTTTGTTTTTAAATTAACAATCCTAAATCTCAAGGAGAATTTATTTGTAAATCCTTAAGTTCTGCCAGTTAAAAGTTTTCAGGGGGAAGTCAGGCAGTGGTGGCACATGCTTTTAATCGCAGTACCAGAAGGCAGAGACAGGAGGATGTCCATGAGTTGGATGGCCAGACCGGTCTGCATAATGAGTTCCAGAACAGCCAGAGCTATATGGTGAAACCCCATCTTTGTGATGCATGCATAGATATCCGTGATATGTATTTTAAAAGAAGAAATATTAAGTTAAACTGACCCAAAGATTGTTTTGTTACCAGAAAAGCATTGCATTCTTAAATTACTAATTTCATAAATAAGGTAATTTTAAACTTTATCTTTCATTTGAAACAAGGTCTTACTGTGTGGACCAGAACTCCAAATGTAATACAGGGTGGTCTTTAACACCGATCATCCTGCTTCTGCCTGCTGAGTGCTGGAATTACAGGCTTGTACCATCACACCATGTTGAAAGTTAGTAATTTACATTATTAGTAAGTTTGAACTAACTTACCATTGAATAAATTCATTTTATATTTATCCATACTATTTAAAACAAAGAACTTGATAAATACTCAAATATTGAACACTAATTTTGTTTGTTTTGGTTTTTTTGAGACAGGGTTTCTCTGTGTAGACCTGGCTGTCCTGGAACTCAATCTGTAGACCAGGCTAGCCTCAGACTCACAGAGATACATCTGCCTCTGCCTCTGCCTCTGCCTCCTGAGTGCTGGGATTAAAGGCGTGCCCCATCACTGCTCAGCCCTAAATATTCTTATATTTTTCTTTTTTTTTTTGATATAGGGTTTTTTTTTTTTTTTTTTTTTTTGGTTTTTCGAGACAGGGTTTCTCTGTGTAGCTTTGCGCCTTTCCTGGAACTCACTTGGTAGCCCAGGCTGGCCTCGAACTCACAAAGATCCGCCTGCCTCTGCCTCCCGAGTGCTGGGATTAAAGGCGTGCGCCACCAACGCCCGGCGATATAGGGTTTTAGTATATGGCCCTGATTGTCCCAGAACTTCCTTTGTAGACCAGGCTGGCCTTGAGCTCACAGAGATCAGCCTGGCTTTGCCTCTCAAGTGCCAAGGTGTGTGCTACCATGCACAGCTTATTATATTTATCTTATATCAGACATTTTAAACTTCTTTGTTAGGTGAGCAGGGGAATAAGAACTCAGTGTGTAGCCAAGGCTAGCCCTAAATTCAGTATCCTCCTGTCTCAGGCTCTCAAGTCTTGGAGTACATGCTACTAGCTCAGGCTCAATTTTGACTTTGGTATATCACGTGACTTTGAGCAGAGAGATGGCCTAGCTTTGGGTCAAGTCTGCAGTGCCTTTGCAGGTATTATTTTAAATGTGTCTCTCAGGGACGCGGCACTGGTGAGAGCACTCATTCTGGAGTGGCAGATCTCAACTCAAATTCTTCATCTATTCTGAAAAAGTCTTGTGAAGCCGGGTGAGAGACTGTAATCTCAGCATTTGGGAGGCTGAGGAAGGCAGAGAGCCGTGAGCTCAAGGACAGCATCACTACAGAGCAAGACCCTTTCTCAGAACACACAAATGAACAAAGCCCAGTGAGAACTAAAACAGCATCCAGAGTGCCTCCTGCCCAGCATCCCAGCATTTGGGAGGCTGATGCAGAAGGCCAGCCTGGCTTACTTAGGGAACAGACCTTGCAGAGGCAGGCAGGATCTCTGAGTTCCAGGCCAGCCTGGTTTATAAAGCAAGTTCCAGGACAGCCAGGACCACACAGAGAAACCCTGTCTTGAAAAACGAACAAAAAAGTTTAAAAACTATAGTGAGTAGACCTTGTCTCTTAAAAAAAAAAAAAGTACACACTTAAAAAAAAAGTATGTGTGTGTTTCAGTGGCTTGGCAGGTAACGATGCACGCTCTCAGTTGACCGGGGTTCAATTCCCAGAGCCTACATGGTAGAAGAGGAGGACTGATTCCTACCGGTTGCCCTCTGATTTCCACACATGAACTGTGGCAAGCGCCTGACCCACCCACCAAATAAATAAAGTCTTGTGAGTGGGACAAGCCTGAAGTCCTCGAAGCGTGTTTTTCACCTAGTAACAACAGGGGAATGGTTAGCCCCCCCCCCCCTTTAGAGAGCTTTTGTGGTGGTTAAACGAAGAAAGTGGAACTGGGGAGGCAATTCAGCTGCAAAACATGGGTTCACTGTGCTCAAAGTTCTGGGTTCGATCCCCAGCACAGGGACTAGGAGGGGAGCATTGGAGAGTCAGCCTGCACTCCTGGGCTCTCCTGACTGGTGCACTTCTCACCCCTTCACAGAAGCTACTTTCCTTTTCTATTTTTTTTTTTGGCGGGGGAGGTAGGTTAGTGTTTTTGAGACAAGGTTTCTCTATGTAGCCGTGGCTGTCCTGGAACTTGCTCTGTAGATCAGGTTGGTCTTGAACTCAGAAATCCACCTGCTTCTGCCCTTTGAGAGCTGGGATTAAAGGTGTGTGTGAGTCACCACCACTGCTCTGATGAAGCCAGTGGAGGTTACCACAGGGGAACCACAACTGGTCACAACACAGAGAAAAGTGACCTTGGATACCCATCCCCCCAAAGGGGCATCTGTAACACAACCTGCTACATCCGAGGCTCAGGAAATGTTGTGGAAGAAGCGGGGGACAGACTGTAAGAGCCGGAGGACCAGGAGGAGGGCTGTAACAATGTCCTCTGGACCTGGCAAAGGTGCTACAGCCGTGAATTCTCAGCAGCTGTGGCTGCCGGCTCAAGACCACACTAGCAAACACATCGGCATGGGTCGGGAAGGGCTCACAATCATCCCCAGCCCCACAAGGTGAGAAGCTACAGGAAATCCACGGCTGTTAAAAGAGGGAGAGACAGTTCCCTCAGGGACAAGCCCAGGGGATGCCCATACCCCTGGGGTAGCCCTACACCCATGTGCATGTGGTAAACACTGATCAGATGCAGTAGGCTCTATGTATATTATATTCATACAGTGATGCATATACGTCATCCATTATATATGCTATAGAAGAAGATGCCATGTATTTGGGGGGGGGTGTGGGGACACAGGAGGATTAGGAGGGGAAGGGTGGGTGTGACCATAACTCATTGTACTTACATATCAAATTCTAAAAATAAATAAAAAGGAAAAGAATAAAAAGGAAATAGAACACTTTTCCTTGGTTATATGTAAAAGTCAATCCTTTCCCTTATTCCTTTTAAACGGCTGATATTTTGTAAAAGTGACTAATTTCGTTTTCACTTCCTTTCATTCACAGATTTCATTAGGGGCCGCAGTCCAGTGACCTGCAGGGTCACAGCCTGGCCAGGGCACACCCTCCCCGTGGTGGTACCTTATCTCTGTGAGCAGGGAAGCAGGAAACAGCCGAGCTTTCCTGTCGCTGGCTCGTTCTTGCCTGTCTTGGCTTTCCAGGGTGTGACAGTTACCTCTCTGCCCGCCTCTGCAGGGACGGCTCACCCAGCCCGAGCTGGAGAGCTCTCCAGTGTGTCTCAACACAGTCAAGTCTTCCACGTGTGAACAGGATACTCGAGTCGGCACTCAGGGGCCACAGATTCCATTACGGGTGTTTACTTTAAAATTCCCCAATACATCTGAACAACTAGATTGATGCTTTGCCTGAGGACTGTCACACCAACTTACGAGAACCGAGTGAAGGGGAAGGGTCTGACCCCAAGACTCATGAGAGGGTTTGTTCAGCCCACAGACTGGAACGGCTGACAATGATTGTTAACCAATTGTTCCCTAGTAATTAATTGCTTTGTTTCAATGTTGAAGTACTTAAGGTAAATCTTCTACCACAATGCAAAAAAATATATTACATCTGCAAATGCTTACAAACCCCTTAAGTATATATTTGTACTGACTTAGGACTCCCATTATGGATGCCAATGCTTTTGAATGTGCCCAAGATATGTCATTAGCAATCTTAAAAACTAAAGACTGTGAGGCCAGTGAGACACTCAGCGGGTAAAGGCGCCGACCAGCACCAAGCCTGATGTGACAGCGGATGAGACAACTGTCTCCCACAGGTTAGTGCACAAGTGCACCCGAATACAATGCAATGGAAGTTTTTAGGAGGTGAGGGCTACAGAGGGAGCAGACTCTCAATGCCATCTTGCACAGAAGTAGAAAAACTTAAAAACAAAACTCTTCAAATTCTTAGAACTCTGAAGGACACTCAGAAAGACATTCAGAACGTTTCCCTTTAAGGTTTGGATCTAATTTCTGTTTCTTCCAGTCAACAGGATCTGCTTAAATTGCTCTCTTCCTCAAATATCTATCATCTATCTATGTGCCTATATATGTATGTATGTATCATTTATCTATGTATCTACATATGTACGTATGTATGTATATATATATGTATGTATGTATGTATCTATCTATTTATGTATCTCTTTCTAAGTTTTTTTTTTTTGAGACAAGGTCTCTACATAACCCCAATTGTCCTGGTATTGACTATGTAGACCAGGTTGGCCCTGAACTCACAGAAATCTTCCTGTCTCTGCCTCTTAAGTGCTGGATTAAAGGCGTGTCTCACCACCCCCACCCCCGATTACAATTCTCTAACCCTCATCCCGCAGAACCCGGCCACAAACCTGTTATCATCTGCTGGGCGTCGTAGGGCTCCATGTAGCCGTCATTTTCCCCAACTCTCTCCGCGTCTCTTTGACCTTTCGTCCGTTTGGCATCATACGGGTCAGCATAGTCTTCTAAAATGATAACCTGTCCAGTGAGAAAGGGCAGCTGCTAGGGAGTCCCCAGATACGAAAATCCGCAACAGCACTACCGAAATCTCCTCCAGGAACGAGGGGTCAGAAGTCTCTCGTTGGTACTGGCAGCTTTTGTACTTGATCCCGTATCTCTGTCAGACAAACGCTCTTTTCGTACTTGATTTGTGACAGCTCACCTCAACTCTTGCTTGTGGGTTAGAGGGTGGCAGGGCGGGCCTCGGGAAGTGCAGGGTATCTGTAGCCTCAGGGCACAGAAAGAATTGTTCTCCCACATCCTGACAGCTCAGAGTCTGCTGTCAGCTAAGTGATACAGTCCCAGTGAATCAGTCACCTCACAGCACTGAGGTGGGTCAAAATGAATCTAAGACCTGCTTCCTGGCCTCAAGGATTATTATTATTATTATTTTTTTTTTGGAGGCAGTGTTTCTCTGTGTAGTTTTGGTTCCTGCCCTGGATCTCGCTCTGTAGACCAGGCTGGCCTCGAACTCCCAGAGATCCGCCTGCCTCTGCCTCCCCAGTGCTGGGATTAATGGCGTGCGCCACCACGCCCTGCATGCCTCAAGGAATGTTTACGAGCTCCAAAGAGACAGGCTTCACAGGTTAGCACTGCACAGTTACTGCAGAAGTTTTGGGTCCCATAATTCACAGGGAGAGAGTGATTCAGCAGCTACAAACCAGACAGGATTTTGACGGCATTTGTGCCCAAGAGCATCTATCATACCAAACCCGCAGGGCGCACGGAGAGGATCTGTGTGCACAGCACCTCTGCTCTGTAGCGGCTGAGTGACACACTAGGGGTGAGGGTCCTTCTCAGGAGGGAGCCAGAGCCCCGCCCGCCCGCTCCAGTCTCTGGCAGAACATCCTCTAGAAAGCTCATGAGGTACTACAGGAGCCCGAGGAAAGAACTCAGACAGTTAAAGAAGCGAAGAGAATGGAACAGACTGGAGGAACCTGCCACCTTGGAGAAGACAGCCTAAGAAATGCCAGCCACCCCAAAGTGACACCCACCACAGGGGACTGTGATTGCCACTCACTCCACCCTGTTCTTGACACCTGCTCCACATGCTGTAACTCACATACAGCAGGGAAGACAGGACGTGACACTCAGTCCTTGGCTCTAAGCTGCTGTGAGGGTCTTGACCAACAGTGAGGTACACCGCCCCCCAGTTATAGACGAGACTCGTCCACATCCATCTTCCAATGGCTCTGCTCAGTGCCTGGCTCCGGACAGGCACACTAAACATGGCTGTGAACTCTTGAATGGAGCAATGAACGGGCACCCAATATATGCCACCTTACATATGCCACCTTACACATGCCACAAGTCCCTGGCAGCCTAGGTAGGCGGCTTGTCGAAAGCCAAGAGGAAATTAAAGCCCCTCACCAGGAACGGGTTGCTTGGGCTGGAGCCTAAAGTCTGGGCGGGAGCTCTTCTCTCTCCCCATTTCTCCCAGGACAGAAAGCCCAGCTCTGCCCTGCAAGGATGGAGAGTAAGCTCACAGGTCCAGTCCTCCCCTTCCTTACCTTTCCCACACTGGACAGCACCCAGAAGCCCTCTGGTGACTAAGATGCAGGAAACACCTTCTCTCCTGATCTGCAATTTCCTTAAGGGCATTTCCTTGTTATGGACTGCCCCCACCCCCACCCCCTGGTGCCCATGGCTCTCACTCTATAGCACAGCAAATATCCACAGAATGAATGGAAGGCCCGTCATCTTGGCGGATGCTGGAACTCTGAGAGGCTGGGGAGATGGGCAATCCACACTTCACAGTTTACAGGCTCCTGTTGTTCTGTGTGCTCAAGTGGTGTAAGCCATATAGAAATCTAGCTTTGGTAGACCCCTTGACGACAAACTTGAAAACAAGAACCAGGGTATACCACACCCATAAAAGGGCCAATTTCTTTCCCTTCCCATCAACTGCTCTTCTAAACCACGAACAAAAACCAAACACATCAAACTTTGCAGCCAAGGTCTTGAAGCCTGGGCGAGAATCTTTCCAAGAGAAAGTTAGTCTAATGATTTTTTAATGGTCACTTGGGAGTCAGAATGGACTCGGCGGGGGGGGGGGGGGGGACCTTAGAAAACATCTTCAACTTATTTCACACATAAAAAATATTGGGGTTCATCAGGCTCCCGTGTGCCCCACCCCCTACCCCCCGGCACTGAGACAGGTGGGTAGAGACGCTGTATTCTTACCGTGTCTTGTTTCATTATTTTGGCCTTGTCCAGCTCGGGGCCCAGGGAGGAAGGTGAAGAGGACGCAGAGGAAGAGGAGCTGCTGGAGCTGCTGGTGCTGCCGCCCCCCGGGTAGGCACCCTTGCCGTTCTTCTCCTGCGTGTCCACCTTGATGAGCCTGCTGATGTAGGTGCTGCAGCCCGCGCTCTTGGCCACCGCACCCCGGTGGGGCTCCTCCTCAGCGGCGACAGCGGGGGCGGTGGCGGTGACCCGGGAGTTCTTCCGACCCTTGCCGGCCGCGGCCTGGATCAGACCCTGCAGGCTGTCCCGTGACAGTCGGCTGTCTTTGGGGGGTCCGCCGCCGGCCCTGCTGCCCCCCAGCTCGGCCGCCGAGTTCTTCCGGCCCTTGCCCGGGGTGGCCGCCGAGCCGCCCGTCTCCGAGTTCTTGCGCGGCTTGCCGCCGGCGCCCCCGGGCCTGGCGCGCTCCGACGCGGTCTTCAGGGTCAGCGGGAACTCCTTGAACCACTTGGCCGCCATCAGGGGGCCCGGGAGCGTCGGGGCCGCGGAAGAGACGAGCGAGGAGGCCCAGCCGAGACACCGAGTGGCGCCAGGAGCCGGGGGCCGCCGCATTCCCCGGGGCTGGGCGCTGGAGGCAGAGGCGCGCGCCGGGCAGGGTGGCACCCTCGGCCCGAAGCTGGACGGGCGGGCGCGGGGACTTGCGGCGCCGTGTCCTCTGCGCTCCACCGCCAGCGGCCGCCGGGCGCCGGGGCTTCCCCTGCTTTTCCTCCAGAGGTGGGCGAGGCCGAGCCCACGGAAGCCCCCGGCAGCCCTGCCCACACTCGCAGGGACGACGGCGGCCGCAGTGCCCGGGCGCCCGCCTCACGGGGGACGCACAGGACGGACGGACGGACGGACGCACCCCTCCCTCGGCGGCGGCGGCGCCCCCCGCGTGCACGCCGGCCTCGCCCCGCGGCCCCCTTTCTGCAGACGGGACGTGCGCGGGGAGAGTGGCCTGGAGTCGCGCTCAGGGACGACTGTCGCCAGCGCCCCCCGCTACGTCCTTTGCTCTCCGCGTCCGGGGCGCGGCCTTCCCGGCGCGCATGGAAACAGGCGCGAGGGGCGAAGGCTCGAAGCTCGGCCAGGCGGCCGCGTGCGAGCCTGGACGCGGACCACGCGGGCTCCCACGCACCTACGGCCTGGGCTGCGGGCCGGGCGAGGGGGGCGACCGGGTCCCCAAGGAGGAAGACCGTGGTGGCCCTGACCGGCTCCAGACACAGAGAGAGACTGCGCCTCTGCGTGCTTTTTTTCCTCGCTTTCTTCTCTAGCTAGTTGGTTCTCTCATTCTCGCTCTCTCCTCAAAGCAATTTCAGATCTTTTTGGCTAAGAGGATTAAGTCTGAGCGTGAAACTAAATCTTTTCGTTTAAAAAACGTTACACGTGGCAGTTACTTACAAGCCTTCACTGGTAGATCTGCGTACTTTTGAGTCAGAAAATTTATCTTTTTCTTTTTCCAGATACAGGCCAAAATACCAAGCTCGCCTGACCTGACAGTCGGAACACTCTTGTGGTGCTGATGTCTTCCTTCACCTTCTTCCCTTTCTCCCCCGCTCCCTCTCTCCCTTCTCCCTCTCCTATGGAATCCAAAGTTGCCCCTAGTTCTGTGCATTGGAGGATGATCGTAGCTGGGATGGCAAAGGGCGCGCCACCGCTGCGAATCTCACGTGGTGCTGAGGATGGAGCCTAGGGCTTCCTGCTCGGTAGACACGCACTCTAGCAACAGAGCTAGTCACCAGCATGTGCAGCTTTTGACCGAGTTCAGTTACTGACCTCAGGGGTGTAACTCTCTCCACCCCATCTCCCCGCCTTTCTCTCAGCTGCAAGGGTTTCCAGTTTGCCTGCTCTGTCTTTTTTTTTTTTCTCTTTCAAACTCGAATAAAATCATCTTCGAACCTCAAAGCAAAAATAAAACAATAATATCATATACAACAATAACAGCGACAAAAACCCTAACTGTGCTACGGAGACTTACGCAGCAGTTCGAAAGTTCAAGCTACAAGCTGTGGGAACTGGATAGCAGCGGCCTCCATCAGCTTGGAAGAAATGCAGGGTCAACCTGACCATTCAGATTCTAAAAATTCATCTTAACGTAAACTGAGGCATAATTTGGATGTCACCAAATTCAGCTATTTATTTATTTATTTATTTATTTATTTATTTATTTATTTATTTATTTATTTATTTATTTATTTATTGTTTTTTCGAGACAGGGTTTCTTTGTGTAGCATTGCGCCTTTCCTGGAACTCACAGAGATCCTCCTGCCTCTGCCTCCCAAGTGCTGGGATTAAAGGCGTGTGCCACCACCGCCCGGCCCAAATTCAGCTATTTAAAGTGTACACCTATGGGATTTTAATATATTGAAGTCTCACCCATAATCTGATTTTAAGACAGACACCCCCCCCCCCCAATAGGTGGGGAGGTAGCTCAGTTGATACCATGCTCGGCATGTAGGCCTGAGAACCTGAGTGTCAACTCCAGCACCCAGAAAGAAAACCCCTGGGAATCACACTCTCCTAATCCCAGTGCTGGGGGGGGGGGGGGGGGGCGGGGCAGAGGAAAACAGATCCCAGGACTCCATCGCCAGCTAGCCTACCCTAATGGACAAGCCCCAAGTCCAATTAAGAAACCTCTTAAAAACAAAGTAGACATTGTTGAGGAAGGACATTGAAGGTTGACTTCTGGCCTGCATACATGTGCAAACATGTCCTCTACCACACTTGAATATCTACACACACACACACAAATCACTATTCCAGAAGGAAACTCAGTATTTATTAGCAGCTACTCCTCATCCCCTGCTCCATGGGCAGTGTATTATTAGCTGTGGTTCTGTAGTCTAGAGGAACAGAACACACACACACACACACACACACACACACACACACACACACACACACACACACTGAATTGTTGGCTTACAAAATAAAGTCTGGGTAGCCAAACAGTGGCTTTCTCACATTGGAGGGGCCAAGACCCTGGTAGATGTTCAGTCCACCATGTTGAATGTGTCACCAGTGCCAGCCTGGCACAGAGGGCCTGGAGGATTCCTGGAGACTTATGGCCTGAGTCTGTGTCGGGAGCCTGGAGAAGCCATGTTCAGTTTGTCCCACCTCCCCCAGTGTGAAACAACTCAACTCTTCTTCTTCTCCTCCTTCTCCTTTTCCTTCTCCATCTCCTTCTCCTTCTCCTTCTTCTCCTCCTCCTCCTCTTCCTCCTTCCTGTTCTTCCTCCTCTTCTTCCTTCTCCTCCTCCTCCTTCTCTTTCTTCTTGTTTTTTCAAGACAGGGTTTCTTTGTGGAGCCCTGGCTGTCCTGTAACTCTCCCTGTAGACCAGGTGACCTCAAACTCAGAGATCCATCTGCCTCTGCCTCCCAAGTGCTGGGATCAAAGGTGTGCGCCGCCATTGCTCAGCTGAACTTTGGTTCTGAACATACAGCATACACACTTTGCACTATGAATGCCATCTTGCTAGGCAACGCAAAGCCAGGGAGCATGGCATAAAACACTGCAGCCTGGACTTGCACTGTCGTGTGTTCTGAATTGTTTATTTTTATGGTACAGGCATGGTTTCTACTCATAGAGAAACAACAGTCTAGTTATGGAAATCATAACTTTCCACTGCCGTTGCTCAGCATCAAATTAATGCATCTTTGGATCATATCATGTTAGACTGTTTGATTTTTAAATTTTTTTCTAACCACTGGGGGATGTAGCTCAGTGGTAGAGCACTTAAGGTCAGTATGTAGGAGGTCCTAGGTTTTTTTGCAACTGTAACTGAGAAACAAAATGGTTCTGGAGTTGCTGATTTGGGTTTCATTTTGAAGTACAACAGGTTTCCAGCACTATCTGAAATGTCCCTGAATTACTTCTGCCATTTGGGTATGTGTTTATGTGAAGTGTCATACTCAGTACTGATGACTATAAAATCAAAATATTGATCAACTCTGAAAAGCATTGAAGATGTTGTATTCCTTTGGTATCAAATATTCATCCCAGATATATTGCCATGCAAATTTGCTTTCATCAATTTTTAAAAAAATATTTGTTCATTTATTTTGTATATGGGTGTGGTGTACATGGGCCGAGGCATTTGTGTAGGGGACAAGGACAATTGTGGGACTGAGTTTTCTTCCACAGTGTGAGACCAGGGCATCGATCTCAGGTCGTGAAACTCAGCAATAAGTGCTCTTACATACTGAGCCGTCTCACTGGCCTGACTTTCCTCCTCAATAAACGGTAACATTGAACTGGTTCAATGGCCAGTGGGTGGAAGTGCCTGCCATGCAAACCCAGCAACCCGAGTTTGGTCCCCAGAACCAGGGAGGGAAGGAGAGGACTGGCCCCCTGTCCTCTGACTTCCACATGCCGCAGCAAGAATGAACGCATGTGCATTCATCTGTACCATACACACACAATAGTAAAATAAAAACCAAGTTTTAGAAAATACAAACAGTAAAACTATATCTGTACCAAAGAATTGCTTTAAAGTGAATTTCTTTATCATTGACTATCAGTGAGCCCCCCCCCCTTTTTTTTTTTGGTTTTCCGAGACAGGGTTTCTCTTGTGTAGCTTTGCGCCTTTCCTGGAACTCACTTGGTAG